TCACACTGGTAAGGAATACTGATACTCTACGATTATCCAGTGTAATACTTGTAAACAATATTGCAATTACTTGTAATAGTTCATCTCACTTGGATGCTTTGTATGTAATATGCATGGTATCAGCTCGCACTTACGAATGGGATCATTCACAGACAATCCAATGTTTCAGTGCTTCCCTCTGTTGCTTGCAGAATGAAAATTTTGAGTACTGATCATCCATCTCTTGAGGCCTGTCTGAATGTTCATTTGAGTTCATTGTGTAAGCAAATGATCGAGAACACATGGTGAAACAAAGGAGATCAAATAGTCTGGTCTTATGGGAGGAGGGGTTGGTTGACTATAGAACTTGAAGCAGCCTGAAGTATTATGGGATGAGCTTAAGGTACCCGTTTCCTGCTACTTCTTTGCCTCTTCAGCATACAACCCTTTGATTAGTGTATGTGTGTGTGTGTGTGTGTGTGTGTGTGTGTGTGTGTGCGCGCACATGTGTACATGTACCTGTGTGTGCTCTTGGTGTAGAAGCTTAGGTGTCTTCTTTCTCAGACATTCTTACCTTGCTTCACTTTGCATTTTTTCCTTCATTCCTTCGTTCCTTCCTTCGTTCCTTCCTCCCTCCCTTTCTTCCTTCCTCCCTTTCTTCCTTCCGCCCCATCCCTTCCTTTCTTCCTTCCCTTTCTCTCTCTTTCGCTCCCCCCCCTCTCCTTTTTGAGAATCTCTCACTGAACCCGGAACCTATAGCTCACCAGTTGGCTAGGCTGCATGAGTTCCAGAGAACTTACTTCACCAGCTTACTGCCTCATGGATGCTAGAGATCTGAACTCAGCTCTTCTTCCTTGGATCCACAGTCAGTTTACCCATTGAGTCATCTTCATAGCCATCATATGCTCTGTATGCCTTTTCTTAGTTAAGCAGTTATGACTTAGAAATGGGTATGGTTCTCACTGAGGTCATTACCATTATAGAAAAAGAATGTGTGAAGTAAGCTTGGTGCAGTAAATGGAATGCCCATGCCCTCCCTCAGACTCAAGTGTTAATCCCCACTATAATGTTATATGGCAGTGAGGCCTTTTGGAGTTGGGTGGGTTATTGGAGTAGAGATATTAGCAATGGCATTGGTGCCTAATGAAAGGGGAACTAAGAGTTCCCTTCCTCCTCCAAGAGAAGACACAGAAAGGAGACGGATGTCTATGAGGAAGGGTGCCCTCTCAGACATCAAATCTGCTGGTGCTTTGACCTTGAACTTAACCCTCTTCTAAGATACTTTGCAGAGAGGAATGTTTACCTGCAGACGTCATCCAGCTGCCATTTTTCATATCTCCTTAGTTACCTTCCCTTTTCTGACTACATTCTATCCTCACATCCAGAAGACAGGAAGCTGGCTGTGTTCTGCCAGGGGAGCTGAGTCTGTCCGTCACTGGGCAGAAGATGTCCACGTATTAACTCAGGATTGAAACAGCCTTGCCCAGTATGATTTATAATACAAATCTCTCTTAAACATCGGGGTTACTCTAGGGTGGTATTTCTGATCCTCAGCAGGAGAGCTAGGTAGCCAAATGATCCTTTGTTGTAGAGGCCTTTCTGTGCACTGTGGGACATTGTCAGCATCCTTGGTCCATGCACACACTAGATGACAAGAGCATTACATTTTGATCATTACACATGTCTCCCTACCTTGCCAAATGTCCCAGTCTTCCAAGTGAGATGAACCATGGAAACACATAAAAACACTTTACTTCTAACTTTTCTGTGATGTTTTTCCCCCAAATAACTTATCTGTTCTGGCAGTATTGATTCAGAACTTGTGTGCTTTGTACCTCCCAGGCTGTTACACCAAACTGCTCTGTGGTGTCCACATTTATCAACTTAATGTTTTCCTTCAGTCACCACTTAGCTGGAAAGATGCCTAATGTGCATAGGGCAGGATAAATAGTATTTTCCTTTTCCTCACCTTTCCTTCCCTTCCTTGATAAAGTCTTCAGATTCCATTGGGTTTTATAGCTAGTTATAACCGAGCAATTCTTGACCTTGGAAATTTGTGTTGATTGCCATTTTGGGAATCCTGACGACCAAAGTCGACTTTTCTTCTTTTCTTTATAGGGTTTGTTAATGTCCAATTCACTTAATCAGCTGACTCTAGCGTCCCACTCAAGGAGAGTTGAAGAATGTAAAAGAGTGTGTTCAGTTTGACCCCAACTTGTCTGCACACACACATGAGCACACTGTATGTACATGTTCTCTCTCTCTCTCTCTCTCTCTCTCTGTCTCTCATACACACACACACACACACACACACACACACACACACACACACACGAAAATACTCTGGAGAAATATGTTTCAAAGCTTGATACTCATGTCATTTGTAATGTTTCCTCCTTTTGCACATTTGTATTTTCTTTTTTTGTACAATAAATGTCTAATGACTGTTAAATTAAAAAAAATTAAAAATGCTTTAGGGGGGTCATTCTCAAGCTCTTGCAATATAATGCAGGCCTTGGCACCTGTCTGAGGGTGTTAATAGCAACCAGAGCTTGGCTGAAATGGCATTTATTTTTAGAAGACACAAGGATGACTGAGTCACCCACCGTATTTTAGGGGGAAGGATGAAACAAGAAACCCCCAAGGAACAGGTGAAGATTTGCTAGACTGATTTCTGTCCTGAGCTCCAAGTTTTATGGGTCAAGATATATGTATGTGTATGAGCTCAGATGGAACGTTCCTGAGCTCCCAGGGGGGCCAAATTTAGCAGTGAGCTCAGGCTCCGAGCCACCGAGAGCGTCACCCTGCTGAGAATGGCGAGCGTATCCCGAGGCTGTGTGTATTTAAAAGCCGTCCAGTGAGTACTCTGTGTTCCTAGAGCATGTTGGGTTTGCTGGTCTCCAAGTGGCTTGGATGCCAAACAGTTCCCTGAAGCTCCATTGGCTGCCGAGCTGGCTCCCAGAGCCTCAGTGAATCAGAACTCAAAGTTACTGTGTAGTTTTAGAAGCCAGAGAGAGCTTTTCTCCAGAGATACTTGAGTACCCTTTCTCATCACCTGTGCATAGTAAGATGCTGTTAGGAGGAGGTTGCCATGGCAACGTGTGTGTGAATGGCGAAAGAGGAAGAGTGGATGGATGAAGACAGTTAATTCTGACTTCATCGTTTGATCAATGATGTGCTATCAGCAAGTCTGGGTGATACAGAAGGCAGCATGCAGACTTGGGAGAGAGCTACATCAGGCCCTGAATCCAAGGTCTACCACATGCTACCCCACTACACACATAACAAAGGAGCCTCTCAGCCTCTTGCAGCTTTCACTTCCTCATCTGTAGAGTGGGCACAACATAGACCTCGCTCTAGTTTCACTGTGACGATAAGGGCCTAGATCACCGGTAAGAATGGCTTGGTGTGTAGCAGCGACTTAAATTTCCCTTCTCTCTGGTCACTTTCCAGGTCTGGGGCTGGCAATGAGCACCAGTTACAAACTTTCACAAGCTAATTTCTGAGAAGAGACAGAGTAAGCATTTCAATAGTAGGAGAAGAGGGGAAGCTGAGAGTACCACACACGCATTTACACACCAAGAGAAAACAAACATGTCTGTCAGTTTTCACTGACGAAAGTAAGAAAATGAACATAAAAATGATGTTTAGTTATCTTCTAATATAAAATGGAAATAAAGGAATTTGGGGGGAGAATAACATTTCATTTAATTAAGGTTCAAAGTTAGAGATCCTATTATCAAATTAATGTCCACTGTTCTCTGTACAAACCATTTGTAGCTGGTAGGACATCCAATATCAGAAAGCAGACTGAATTTGTTCCATAAGCAAATAATGAATTTGTTCCATGAGCAAATCCCTACTGTGGGACATTTTATTTCTAAGGTCAATCTCTACTTGTGCTCTGACCCTCGTTATTAGTGAGGAGTAAATGATTTGAAAACGTAATTGATACCCAAACAATCCTTAAAGAGCTACCATCTGGAGAGGAGGCTGAAAAAGTTCTTTAAATAAATGGACTCTGAGACACTGTCAGAGTACTTAGTCTTTTGTAACCAGATGATTCTCTTAATAATAGCCTCTTTTTGTAGCAGAAATCTGGAAAAGAGGGGAAGAAATTATCAGGCCACACAAACTGACCACCTACAAAGAGAGATCAAGGAATAAGCAGATATGAAAGCTGGCAGCCACGTAAACAGATCCTCCCCAGCTTTTGATCAAGGAAGGAAAGGACCAGCCTGTTTTCAGTGATGAAGCGGCTAAAGCAGGGCTTACCATTTGGTGCCTAAACATCAGCATCCCTTCCTGCTAGCCTTCAATGACCTGGATGGAGAGGTTCAGATGTACAGACTTAAGTGACTGACCAGCACTCAGGCAGAAACAGGACTGCTGATTTCTGTAAGGTGTATTCTTCTCAGAAGGGAGCACATCTCAGTGGAGAGCTAGAGAGAGTTAGAAATTATCCAGTGGAATAGAGGAGACCTGAGTTGAAGCAATAGGACCCCTTTACCCACTGAGGTCCGGGAGAGGACCATGTTTCTGACTATTGGACAGATACGGATGTGGGTTGGAACGTATGGATGAAGAAGGGACTGAGATGATTTTAGAAAGAACCCAAGTCCCAGTGGTAACTCTTTGTTATTTATGTGGCAGGAAGGATGATCCCTCTGTAGCAGTTTTGAAATTCACTCAGAGATCAGTGATGGTAAAGTTCTTCAGGAGAAGCATTTGAAAGTTCCAAGACAGGTGTTCATAACTTGCAATATTTGTAACTGACTTCTTGGTTTGAGGCAGAGATCTTTTGAGATATGTTACTTTGGCCGAGGAGCAATATTTAAGCAAAGAGGGTTTAGCAAGGGAGCTTTGGTGATTTACTTTTAAAATTCTCCTAGAGTTGATGCAAACATGTATTTCTCTATTCATGTGTCAAGGGACCATAGGCCAAATGTTTTCAGTTTTTTTTTAACTAATACCATGGAATAAGACACAGAGTTTACATAAATGCCAAAGAAAAGTAGAAGTACTTTCAAGCAAAATTTATTAGGTATCTACTCAAGAAAAACACAACGACCTTTGCTTTGTAAGAATTCAAAGTCAATCACCTGAAAGACAGGTATGAATATTTTTCCCTTTTAAAATCAGATACAGAGAGTAGAAACAGCAAATTTTCTTAAATAGAACAGGCAGCAGAGTTGAAGGTTTGTTTTCATAAATGGTGTGAAAAAGAAGTAGTCATTCAGCAGCAAAGCTGCACATGGCTGGCTGACTGCCAATCCCAAGTTTTCCTAATAGAAAGCTGGTCATGAACTGGAGAGTAAAGTGAACTTCTCAAAGGTGTTTTTATCCCTACCCCCTTAGTGATGTAGCCAGTATCTATGTGCATTTCAGGGTGGATACAAAGATCTTTCCAATTCATAGAATTTTGTGTTGATGTTATCTTCCAGATTCATCCTAGTCTGTGATCTGTGAAGATAGCCTAAAGGGAGACCTGCCGGAAGAGTTTAAACTCAGTTTAAGTGCAGGATAAAGACCAAGTTGGGAAATCCCCATTTTCTGAACAAGTAAATAGTCTGTACAAAAGAAAAGAACAAACATATATATACAAAATGCTAGAGTCTACATGTTGTGTGAGATCAAGCATTGTCCACTGAGGAAAGCCATAAAAAGTTTTGTCTATAAGGTGCTAAAGGTTCAAAGACGAACAGATCTTATGCAAATTCATTCAAAATACAAAGCTAAGTCTCAGAGTATGTGGAACACAGGCACTGTGAATCCATTAAATCTTTCAGGTTTGGTATCATTTTGTAGAACTGTTTGGGGGCAGGAAATACAACCTGAATGATTTAACCATTATTTCTAAAACTGCCTCATTATTTCTAGGAAGCATTTTACACACACCAGAAAAATCAGGCTCAACATATATATTCCTGTCTGCAAATGGAGTCAGGATTCTGGGTTTCATAGAAGAAAAATAATTATTGTAGTAAAAATAATTGTATTGATCACAGTCCTTGCTAAAGCCAGCCTTAACACTCAGGATGCTCCTGAAGTACTCTATAAAATAATGTGGGATTCTTTTACATTTCCATAAAATGTACAACATAGCATATGATTTATATGTCCTTATGTGTAAGTGTACACGCAGTGAAACCCACCTATGGGTGTTAACTTTCATCTCTTTGCCTCTCCTACTAACACTGCTTTTGAAGTTTTACAGATAAATAAAACACTAAGAGCTCATTGTTCATGATGCTGATGATTACATTTTAATATAAAACAGCAATGCAAATTTACAACACGATTTGTCCCGCAGTGTGGCTAAACCTTCATGATAGTCATGGTAGTGACCAACGGCTTCTGAATCACTCACACTGTTTGCACTTCTAATAAGTACACAAAAAATGGGCAGGATAAGACTCCTCGGTGAAAACTTAATGCAATCAGCAGAAATCAGAGCCATCCCAGTTAACCTTCCTACTCGCTCTAGATTTTATAAATCACTGTGCATAAAACAATATATAATAAGTGCAGGCAAACAATAGCTGAAGTGTAGTTGTTATACAGTGAAAACCAGGGCACTAGGCAAACTCGTGAAAGGAAAACACACTGCCAAGCTGAGGGTGAAAATGCAAACCACCGCATTTCAGAAAACAGTCTCTGGTTTCTGAGGACAGAACACCACCTAGAGAGGGGGAGATACAGCTGTGATGAGACTAGCCAGCCTCCTATAGAGTCTCTTTTCTTTCTTCCTTTCTTCTTTTCTTTCTTTCTTTCTTTCTTTCTTTCTTTCTTTCTTTCTTTCTTTTTCTCTCCTCTTTTTTTTCTGCCTTAACTCTTCCACTCTTTTTAAGTATGATGACCTTCATTCTGATTGCATACACAGAGATTTTAAAGTTCAGGGCAGAAAGCAGGAAACCGCATTGATGCGGGTGTAAGTTTGCCACCTTTCCCTAAGGCTCACAGCGGCAGTTGCTGCTGGTGATTTGGTGGCGGCAGGTGGAGATGGTATTGGCCTTGGGAAACCATAAGGCATGGCAGCGGCAGGCCTGCTGGGATGTTCCAGGTGAGCTGTGCGGATGTGTGGCGGAAATGGGGAGTAATTAAGGAAGAAGGCGATTCACAGCCTCTTGACATAGTTTCCGGGAAAAGTCCCAAAGAATTTGGTTCTTCTCGAAGTTCCTGAAAACAGAAGCAACAAATGAAAAGGTGTGTAACAGCAATGAAATGCCAGGTACTAGGTCTGCTTGAGGAATTCCCTTCTCTAAGGGTTCACTGAGAGAGCAAGCCCTAAATAGTTTGGGAAGAAGCATAGAGAACTCACTTGAGGACAGGAAAAAGAGAAAGCAGGCAGGCTAATTGTCTTGCCTGATGTCATCATTGTTACATTTGCATAAGGAATCAATTTGTATCACACGGAGCTGCTACGGGAGGAAGCCCAGCCTCCCAGTCTAGAGAGACGACAACTGGGCAGGGAGCTGGGTGGCAGGACTCAGATCCCCACAATGCCAAACAAGGAGTAACAGGCAACTGTGAGGCTTGCAGTGGACGAGATGAGAGTACCGGATGCTCACAAGGGTAAGGGCTGCTTCGGGAGCAGGAGGCTTCCTCTGTAGTGCCACACGGCCACTACATGGACATTGCCATTGTCACAAGTGTTTTAATCTCACGTTTAGTGCTACCTCACTCACAAAGAAAGCACAGTTACACTTCTTAACAAAATATAGACTTCTGAGCAATTTAAAAATCACATTTTTTTTTTCAAAGTAGAAGATTGGCTGCTCCTCCCGTGGGCATGTGGGCTGGAATTCAGCCACTGAGAATGGCTTCTAACAAGGGCAGTTGCGTGCACACATGGCTATTCTTATTGTCTCCTTTGTCTCAGATGCCACAGTTCCTTGGATAATTCCTATAAAGTCTATACAATAAGTCTTTTGTATTTTACAATAGAAGGTTGGGTAGGGCCGCTAAAATTTCATTTCTCGTTAACATTCTATAATTTACTGGCTTGTTTACAACCCCTGAAAATCATCTATTCTCTTCTTGTGTATGGAGATTAAGGGAAATAAGAGCATCTAAGACTTGTGTCTGCCCACGTGACCTCAGTTCTTTCCTTACCTTGCCGCTGCTAGACGAGTCTAAAGAAGGATTTCATTCCCACATTTTTATTCTATGTGTATGGGGGTTTGCCTAGATGCCTGTCTATGCTTCACATGTACACAGTGCTTACTGAGGTCAGAACGGGTGTCAGATGTCCCTGGAACTGGAGTCATGGACAGTTAATAGCCACCATATGGGTGCTGAGAGTGGAACCCAGGTCATCCTAACTCTCTCCAGACTCTCCAGCCCTCCCACCACCTTTCCCTATCATCTCTTTCCTTTGTGTCTGGGTGGATACTTCAGGATTTTCTTAGAAGACCTCATGTCGTCTCCTCCTCATCTCCTTGCTCTTCTGCTTCCTCCACCTCTCTTTCTGTTCTGGGCACCGGACAGTGGAGCAGTGGCGGATGGAAGCATGTACTCCATGGCTGAGCTTCCAATCTCTGAGACGGTAAACCTGGGCTTGCCTTTGAAGCAGTGACAAAGGTAGTTTTCGTGTCAACTAAATGAAGCTCAGGAAGACCCCTAGACTTTTAGGACTGGCTATATCAGTCTTAGCAAATTGGATAGCTTCCTTTTCCTCTCGCTCCCCATCAAATAACATTTCCCCTGTTACAGCTAACATTTTCTATCGAACAGAGCAAAAATATTTCCTACATGGGAATATTTGGTGTTTTTTGCAATTATCATTATCACATCAGCCATTGCTAGTTGGTGCTATTTAAAGAAATTTTCCTAGTTGGGTTGGAAATTAGACTAGCAGAAAATCACATATCCCTGCCGCAGTAAATGCAGCAGTAAATGCTGCATTTTATTAAAATGCAGTGACTTTGGGATGTATAGTACACCATGAATTCAAAGAGAGATTGGCATGTGCAGTGGACTACAACAAGTGAGCAAATTTAAACAAGGAAACAGTCAGATGTGTCTAGAATGAATGACGGAACAGTCAGACATGTCTAGAGTGAATGACAGAACAGCCAGACGTGTCTACAGTGAATGACGGAACAGTCAGACGTGTCTAGAGTGAAGGACGGAACAGTCAGACATGTCTAGAGTGAATGACGGAACAGTCAGACGTGTCTAAAGTGAAGGACGGAACAGTCAGACGTGTCTAGAGTGACAGAACAGTCAGGCGTGTCTAGAGTGAATGACGGAACAGTCAGGCGTGTCTAAAGTGAAGGACGGAACAGTCAGACGTGTCTAGAGTGACAGAACAGTCAGGCGTGTCTAGAGTGAATGACGGAACAGTCAGGCGTGTCTAGAGTGAATGATGGAACAGTCAGATGTGTCTAGAGTGAAGGATGGAACAGTCAGACGTGTCTAGAGTGAACGAGCACATACCCACGAACCATCCGTCATCACACTTCTCCATGACATCCACGACGTCGCTCTCCCTGAGCTCCAGCTCGTCTTCATTCCTAGGAGTATAGTTATACAGAGCCTGAAACCTTAAACGGGACAGATGGGCGTGTTTAATTCATTTCATACTGCCATCAAGTTATAGAAGTTAGCGTAACAGTCATTTCAGCTCTGACATGTCTATTTCTACATTCTAATCTGCCGCGTTAGGCATGTTCACTCTCTGCTAAGCACGTGAAGCCAACAGAGACATCCAGAGTCTCATGGGAATCAGGCCACTTTAGCCATACTTCAAAATGTACCATGAAAAATATTCAGAAAAGATTATAATATTCACTACTCAGGCGAAAGCATTATATTTGTAGGCCATGAAAAATATTCAGAAAAGATTGTAATATTCACAACTCAGGCAAAAGCATTATGATATTTGTAGGCCAGACCTGCATTTCAGTTATCTAGACATACAATGTTTGTCATTCAGGTACTACATAGCAATATAGAATAATATTGATATAAATGGTATTTGTATTGTACAGTCCATTTAGAGGGATCACAGTTACCTAACCATAACCATAAACAAACAATGAAGGCCCGGAGAAGGAGTTCTCAAGTGGTTCTAAACTGAGTTGTGAAAAATGTTTCCGAAACACATCTTGTTTAATTTTTTAAAATTTTTTATTTTATTTATTTTGTTTGTATTTTCTATGTAGCTTTGGAGCCTGTCTTGGAACTCACTCTGTAGATCAGGCCGGCCACGAACTCCCAGAGATGTGCCTGTCTCTGCCTCCCAAGAGCTAGGATTAAAAGCATGCACCACCATTTTGTAAATGATGTGGGAACTATTATAAATGGAAGACTATATACTTATCACAGGAAATCCTTTAAAGATTAGTTTTATAGTCTGAATCAGGATGTGAAGTGTGAAGACTTCATGCAATTTGCTTATGACCTTGAATCATTGGTGAGACTGTATGTGCGGTCATCCCTGACTTGGCTCAACTAATAGGTCACGCTCTTTAAAAAATGCGTCTGGGAAAAACTGTGGTTGAGCTAAAGAGTCTCCTTTCAAATAGCCATATGAGAGAAAGAATTACAAAGATAACACCACCATTTTCTTTTCCTTGTCTGAACTCAAATAGAGAGATGGTGACGTTGAGCTGTAATGTGTTTGAATACTGAATCCATTTGACATTGACTTTTGTGACTACTAAATTTTGTGACTATTAGAATAGACCAGCACTTGGGAAAGTAAAGATTGACATTTTACAGGCTAAGAAGGCTGGGTAGAATTTGGTATGTTAGTGGGAAATTTTCATGAGATCACTCGTCTGTCACATAGGATTAAGAGGACTGGTAAATATGTTTTCATTGCTTTTTATAACATATTGTGCAAATGTAAGAAAACAATAACAGCATTCTGAGGCACTTTGGATTTATTTTGGGCCACCATTAAAAAGTAGGTGATACTGAATTCTACTTTGGAACAAGAATGCTTTATTTCTAATTACTTTATCAAGTCAGAAACATCATATTTTGGCAGAATATCCTGGTGCTTGAATTCAAACATTGTGCTATAAATGTGCACTAACTTCACTGGCTCCCTCTCTGTTCCTGAGTGTCTCCTGATCATGGGATACAGATAAAGTTGGCTGCTGCAGGGATTTGTAGGAAACAGCTTTGCCTTTCTGTAAAAACCATCACCTTCTCTAGCCTGGTACCCAACCCTGAAACTAGAAGGAACTAGAGATTCCCTCCCTAGTTAATAATGTTCCCTTCTAGTAGGTAATATTAGCCATTTTTATTCTTTGCTCCCTTTGCAGTCCTCTGAGGTCTTTTGTTGGGAAAAGCTTCAGCTTCTGGTCACAGAGAGAAACAGAAGCAGACCCTAGATATGGCAGGAAAGCCTGGCAGGGGCCACCTCCCGAGGATGTTTGCCTGGGGCCAGCCTTAGGAGAAGAGGAAAACCATTTTGTCATTCACGTGTTGTTTAGCGTCTGAGGCGGTTGGGAAGAGAATGGTGAAATTTTGGATGTTCACAAGGAAGGGGATTTCAGCAAGTCCCTTTGTCCATTCTTGAGCTTGAGGGACACGGTCATCCCTGGCTGCTATGATGATGTATGTAGTCTGCGCAGTCCCTTTGGGAAAGTGGATTCTCTCTTAGCTTCTCAACCTCTAGCCTTACTGAGGCCTATCTCCAACACTGACATGCCTACCTAAGGCCGCAAACTATTGCTGCTGGAAGACGCTGAGGGTCCCCAGAGCTAACAAACTCGAATTGGCATGGACTCCCAGCTCATTTTCATATAATGCAAGCCAAGTTTGCTTGTCAGAATTTATTTACCATAGCAGTTTAATTAGATCACACTCAAAAAAAAATGTTTTTATGGAAATAAAAACAAACCTTCCTGGGAATCCTTCTACCTCTGCTGGTTTTCAAAATCAGTGTTGCATGACAGGAAATGCAGCCCAATTAGAATTTTTTTAAAAAATGCTGCTCTGAAATATATTGGTAATACGGGGTCAGGATTGCCTGAAAAATCAATTTATCATTTCAAAGTGCCAAGCCAAACTCCAAACTATAGCCTTCACCTTCTAATGTCCCTAAACTGAACTGTAATGTGGTGTAGGTTTCTACTTTTGCTTCCCAAAGTATTTTTATAAATATATGCAATTAGCTAACTTTCCACAGTCCCTCCAATCAAGGCAGCAGTGAAACATAGATTTGATAAAGAATGACATCGAAAGCAAGGCTTGAAAGTGCATTATTCTTCCTGCCTGTGGGCTCTGTGACATTAGAAGAGCCCAGTGATGCCAGCTGCGTGTGACACAGCGAACTACAGGAGCACAACTTGTTCCTAGGCCTCAAACACTGTTTAATAGAACACATCAGCAATGGCAATGTCATCCCCTAGACAGCTCTAGAGAATATTTTTTTGTGATGTGATCCTATCGCCGTTTGCACATGTTAAAGAGCAACAGACGCATCATTACAAGTCATTCTTAAGGTTTTCCAGTTAGGCGAGGTGTTTCAGTGACTAGTACTTCTAACCTAGTCTGTTTGGGACAAAGACGTCTTCAGAGGCACGCCTTCCTGGCCACACTGTGAGAGGCACTTTCAGAGAGTGATGTGTTCTGAAAAGCCTGTTTCTAACCATGAAGAACAAGGAGGGACTAGTGGTGCGGAAAACACCAGTTCCACACCAGGGCCTGCTCACAAAGAGCCTTTGGTCAGCATTGTCTCTCACCAAGTGAGTAGAGCTTGGGCAGAAGGCTTAGGAGCCAATAGGGAGTGGATATCCTCAGAGTAACCTTGTAAGAGACAAATGGGACTCTTAAAGGCAATGCGTGATTCTTGCAGGTTGATTTCACGTATGTGCAGGAAGGAACCTTTGAAAGGACACGGTCTTGCTGTGGTGGAAACGATATCATGTGTCTGAACAGCAGCAAGTGCTTTAATACTGCTATTTTCAAATGACATTTTGAAGCATGGGTTATCATTTTGATATAGATGTGAATTTTTTAATTTGCATTGGTATGGATCTTGGTCTATTGATACAAATTTTTAAGTCAGTCTTGTTATATGTATATTTCTGTTCTTGATTAAGGTATTGCGATTGTGCAGTTCATTTAAAAATGTATTGTATAATTGGGAAATACAGGTTAATAGTCAAGCTTGTAGTCATGTTAGTTAGTTTTTCTAGATGTACAGAGATGTATTTCAGATGGGTAGATATTCTTCAGATCTTTCAAAGACAGCAGAATATGGCATTTAAAATGTTTTAATAACTTAGGACTTTTCATGACAATGAGACACATCTGCTCCTGGCAGCAGCAATCTACTTCAAGAGGATGATGGGCACTAAAGAGGCTCCTCATGGAGTTTGTTAGCCATTTGGGCAGGAAACTGCTCTTGCCTGGACTGTTTTATGTTATGCTGTATAAACTGGACATGCATGACCCCACAGAATAATGACTGCTGAAGATGCCTAAAGAAGGTGAGACAGTCCTTCAGGGTTCCTGCTTCATGAAAGAGTCTACCAGACATTCTGCAGGACACAGAAGAAAGTGACTGACAAACTGCCAATATAGGTATAACTATTTTTGAAATTTCCTGGTTCATGGAAAAATCTGCTGAATATTCTGGGCCTATAGGCTGAAGATGGGTGCCTGCAAAGTTACAGAAGAACTTTGGGTGGCTGTCTAGGCAGCAAGATGTCTCTGTCAATTCTAGAGTTTTGGAAGTTGCTTACAATGCACTTCCTGTTTACTTTGGTAATATTATATTCTTCTAGAGTCTTTGATGGAGTTGAAAAATAGATAGTTATAGTTTTGCTTATTTATGATAAAAGGTAAAGTAGATATAAATATTGTAACTGTAATTCTAGCTTGATAACTGTTTTGCTGTATGTAATCTTGCTATGTTAAAATTAAAAACCTTTTTTATTTAGACAGAAAAGGGGAGGCAATGTGGGATTCCCCCCTGCATGCTGTGAATACCATTGATTAATAAAGAAGCTGCGTTGGCCCTATAGACAGGGCAGAATAGAGCTAGGCGGGAAAACTCAACTGAATGCTGGGAGAAAGATGGTGGAGTTAGGGAAAAACCATGTAGCCATCACTGGGGACAGATGCCTCCACTGGAGCCTGGTAAAGCTTTGCCGGTAGTGGTGATGCACAGGTTAATGGGGATGGGTTAGTTTAGGATATAAGAGTTAGCCAGAAATATGCTTAAGCTATTGGCCAAACAGTATTGCAAATAATATAGTTTCTAAGTGTTTATTACAGAACTGAGCAGGACAGAAACCTCCACCAACACCATACTACCGAAGCAGAGCTTAGGTATATTTTTGAGGTATACTTAAGAAAAACAATGTTAGGGCATGGTTTGTCTGTCTTTAAAGTTGTGGTTACCAGTTATACAGCATGTAAGGAAGAGATGGATTTATAAATTGCAGGAGTCATCATAACACCGGAAAGTTTCTCTTTGCTATTTATTCATTTTATGTGTGTAAGTGTTTTGCTTGCATGTATAAGCTGCACCCTGTGAGTGCCTGGTACTCATGGAGGCTAAGAGAAGCTGTTGGATCCCCTGGAACTCGAGTTACAGGTGTTTGTGAGCCCCCATGTGGTTGCCAAGAATTGAACCTAGGTGCCCTGGAAGAGCAGCCAGTGCTCTTAACAGCTGAGCCATCTCCCTAGTCCTCTTGCTTTCATTTAAGCATTAGCCCGATCTCATTGATAAAACAGAATGATGTCTCTTGTTCTGGACATCTCATGGTCACTGTTCAACCCCTTTCACTTCCAGAGCCCTACTGTCCTCTGTCTGGATGCCTGTCGTCCATCTCATGGGCCAAGGTTAGTCTTTGATTTAGAAGATAGGGAGAATACTTACGGTTCCCCCTGACCTTGAATGTCGTCATGAGTGAACACAGAACGATGTGGCTGAAAGGAAACGGTTTTCAGTGTCATCAGGGTTTGAACAGGTATCACTAACAGGTAATTTGGGTAATAGCATGGTAACTTTCTTGACATTTAATATTTCCTGTTGTAAAAAACCAAGAGGAAGGAAAAACAATCCACCAAAATTAAGGGTTTCGATGTGCTTAATAGTTAAAAGTATTTTGAAGGGTGCTTTCAATCAGAATACCCAAGGTCCAAACTTTGGAACACATCCACAATCTGGTCTCTCCAAGCTTTAAGGGAAAGTTGAGTCCCATTGATTTTTCCAAGGTCAGGAATATGGCAAGAACAAAGACATCAAATCACAGCAGGGAGGCTGGACCCCTTCACTCAACCTCACTCTCTAGCACTCTTTCAGACAAGCAGAAGGAAGACACATCTAGCAAAAACCACATTCGCTCCGAGCTTTTCCTTCGCAGACAACATTGCCACATAGGTACAGATGGGAGAAAGTCAACAGCCAGACATCCCATGCTGCATTTGAGTTTCAATTCTCTGCTCTCAACGGGGTCAGGGTCGGGGCAGCGAAGCACATGCAGTTTTTCAAAAGGGAAGACAGAGAACTTTAAGAATAATGCAACGGACAATATCCAGGTAACATATAATGCTTTACCTTAGAAGAGAAATATTGGTAGAAATCCCCAGTGCACTGAACTCTCAAAAGAGTTTCCTTTCTTTTTAAACTAAGCATCAAGACCAGTATCTGTAATAGATACTTATAATATTGGAAATGACAAGCCTCAGCATCCTGTATAGCCACACAAACACTTCAGAGAATGAAACTTAGCACATTTGTTGGATACGGAAACTTAGTGCAATTTACATTGATTGTCTGTAGGTCATGTTTTCAGGAAATAGATGCATTGGACCCACTACATTTCAAACATTTTCTGCTAAATGATAGCTATCTGCTGAGATAAGAAGTCTGATAATAACAGAATTTAGTTGTTATTATAGCTGTGTCTTCCGACATCAGGACCGGAGCTTGGATACACATAGTTATTACTGATTATCATAACCTAGAAAGATTTCCCCTGGAATTGTCCATAGAAACTTCTGGTCCAAGGAGGGGTAGGGAGCCCTGAAGATCCCTTCAGTATGAGTCTGTTGATCAGGCCCCTTCCTAAATTTATCTCCCATCTTCCAATCCATGTTGTCTGGTTAGTGCAGATTAAGTATTTTCACTATGAAAACTTTAAGCTTTAAGTCTATTAATTGATAGCATTTATTAATAGCATCCCTAGAGTTTTTTTCAATAAAAAACTAAGCATAGAATGCATAAATCTAAACCTAAAGAGTGGATGAGAATTACTGTCTGCATGAATGATTTACTCCTATAAATCGGTATAAAATTCCCAACAGTATTTAAAATTGTAAGTGATATTATTAAATATAAAATATTAAAAGTATAAATTATATTATTTTTAAGGATAATGAAGACTACGCCGGTACATTGCCACACTTTTAATCTCAGTACTCTGGTGGCAGAGGCAGCCAGATTTTAGTGAGTTCAAGTCCAGCCTATAAAGGTTACATAGGGAATGCCAGTCTAAAAAAAAAAAAAAATGAAGGCCAAACTGTCTTCTAAACATTTTTTTTTAGATTTTTAATTAAAGAGATCATTAATCAATTTAAATATATGAAGAATCAAGTGTATGTCATCTATATGTATGTGTTACATTTCTAGCTCCTTTCTATTTCCCTGTTAAGTTAAAAATTGAATACCACTTTCAATCAACCTGTTAGTTAACTTTAATCTACATGTGAAGGTTACCGTCCATTATTTAGCATTATCATTGGGACCGTACTTGCTCAGTACCTTTGAGTCTTCAGCCTCCAAAATTATTTAAATGAATTGTTTCTTTGGCAGTTAGGAAAGCTGGTTGTAGCTCCGAGTGTGGGCAGGGGTCATTTAATTCCTGGGGTGTGAGCCAGCAAATCCCTGGCTTTTAATTGTCTTTCAGAATGCGCCTTATCTTGCTTCCCATCCTCCCAATCTTGCCCCCACCTCCTGAATCATCAGTTTCCCCATAGCATCCAGTTTCTCAGGGTAGAATAAGCCTTGATTTTATCACAGAGACACTGTGTAATCTCATAAAATCATGACTTCTGAAAACATGCAAAAGCCCTTCTTTAATAGAAACCTTCCCTGGATGAGCTGATAACTGGAGGCCTGTTTCTTAGGAGAGTTGTGTAATTCCAGTATTGAGTTCATGTCTTTTACAAGGTCTCTGCCGCTAGAGGAATAGCGTGTTAATGGTCATTCATGAATGTGTACTCGCTGCTGTTTGGGGCACTGCCTGCTATGGACCTAGGACTTTCAGCTCAGATTCCTCATCTTCCATTCAGTGAGACAGGATGAAATGAATCCTGTCCCCTCACGGAGCCCAGAAAGCAATAGATCTCTCGCCTGATAGTTTTCCTTTGCCATGTAAGGATTCCTCTCCTCAATCTTATGCACAGAGCAGTCAGTAAATAAGCCAATTATTACGTATCTTAGTCATGTGAAAACCCAGGGTGGCGACAACTCAACCTCACTCTGCGCGTTGGTTAAATCCTAACCCAAAAGACACTGGATGGTTTGCTATGGCAAATTCATGACAAAAAAGGGATGGAAGGACATAGCCCCGCGTTGAATGAGGTATTATGACAGACTAGATGGACTAACGTGGTTAAAGTCAGCATCTGTATTTTGTCTTTAGTACAGAGGTTTGTGTTTCCTGTGGGTGTTCAAGCAAAGTGCTTCCCAATGCTCCTTGCTACTGAGTCTGCACTCTATTGCCACCTAATGGTAAGCAGTGGGAGTGACACGTTAAAAGTTGTTTTTGCCTTTAACCCTGCTAATTAATTGTGAAAAGATTTTCTGAAGCCCATGGGGTAATTCGAAGTAGATAACGATCTGTTTTTCCTACCATGCGGTTCCCTTTCCAGCATTCTCAATTCTCTAGAAGAAATGACTTGCTAGCTGCCAGTGTTTAAGGCTAGTATCCACCTCTATTTTAACGGCTCAGGCATTTCCATAACACACTTCTGAGGTAAATATAGAACAATATACGCTTATAGTATTTGGAGCGGCTTACCCAGACCATGAGTTTAAGAAGGCAGTTTCCAAGTTAACAGGTCACCATTACCATACAGGACATTTTGAGCAAGAATATACTATGGTTATCTTTCCTCGGGCTACAAGAGCTAGTTCCAGGACAGGCTCCAAAGCTACAGAGAAACCCTGTCTTGAAAAAACAATCAACCCCCTCCGCCTTCCACAAATTTATAAGATGGGAATATGTGTAAAAAAAAAAAAAACAAAAAACAAAAAACCTCAGGGTGACGCAAAGCATGTCAACTTATCCATGGGAACTTATGGATGAGATCCATCAATTTTTGTAAAACAAACTTACTCTGTCTGCTCCTGTCTGTCCCCTCTCTCCCCTCCATCCCCAAGTTTATGTGTTAGTTCTGGAAGGCTGTTCAGTGGAGACTTAAGGTTCTCCACAACAAGCTGGCATTTCCTTCTCCCTATAGCAACACAAGTCCCCTCCCACAATAGGCAAAGCAACAAGTACAGAATGCTTTACGTAGAAAACATTATGTGCATTTCTGTAACGGATAAAGGAACGCTAAAAAATTCAGTCCAGAGAACTTGAAGTGCAGAGCAGAGGTGTGCGGCAGGCCAGCTAAAGCTAAATCAGGGTTCATTAACTTAGACTTGGTGAAAGGAACCCTGAGGTATGCATCTGTGGAAATCCCCACATTCCTTGGCTGCCTCCCCCAGAACTCGAGGTGCCATTTAGAATCTATCCACTTGTTCTGCAGCTATCACAGAACTGAATAGTTAAACAGGAGGCTACTGACCTCAAAGTTCAATCAAAGTTGCGAGGGAATTTGGAGCAGGCAGGCTCCAGAGAACAGCATTACAGGGAGCGGCGTGGCCAGAATGTGGCCTGTATCTCCCGAGCAACAGAATGTTTGGGAATGGCTCACAGTTTAAAATAAACTCATGGCAACCAAGAGACACTGGAGTTAACATGGCCAGGAGCAGGTGAGCTCAGTGGGCAACGGGTAACGCTTTAGTTCTCCGCACTAAAAGCAAGGACTGACAGGGAACAACTGAGTACAGAAAGGAGACAGATGTAGGAAACAACACACACTGCGCCCTTGTTTGTGTAGTGAGTGCCATTTTGGATTTGAGAAACTTGACACATACCGCAGGGGAGCACAGAACCCATAGCCCCTCAGCTACTGGTCATGACATCTCAGGGGACTCTTCCCCAGCCTCACTTTACTACCCAGTGACAGCAAAGTCACCTAAGGAAGGGCCAAGGTGGCCAGGATGGCTGCTGCAAGTGGGGGTATCCGACCCTACCCTGTGGGAGCTGCTGACGGGTGAACTGCTGGACCTCTTAGACATCACTGGGCTACGAGGCGGCTTACCCGGGACAAATGTCTTGCTTTTTAAATCAGCCTAGAAAAGCCATAAGAAGTGGGTTAGTTCTCATCTTCAGGATGTGGCCTGCGGGAGGAACCTTCTTGGTTGGCTGTTTTCCATGCACACACAGCATGCCAAGCTCATGAATACTAGCCGAGCGGGAAGGGTGAACAGTCTGCATAATGGCTCTATAGAGCTTCCATCCTCAGGGCTCAGCCGCTGCTCTGCTAGGAGACTCCCAGAGACGAAAAGACATGGAGGGGGAAACTGGTAGGAGAATGTGTCTGAATGTAATGTAGATGGCTCAGAACACACATCGGAAATATTACCTCCCTATTAAGAGAATACTTAATAACTGCATCTAAAACACTCTCCAGCCCGTCTGTTTACTTTGCATTTACCAAGTGGCAAGCAGGAACAAACAAGGCGAGATAAGAGAAAATTTGACCCAATGCCTATCAAGTTTTATGGAAATCTTTAGGCTTTTAAGAGGCAAAAATGTTCTAACAAATTCCTAAGAAGAAAATGATTTGGGGAGTGGAATGGGGGGAAGATGGGAGGTAGTGAAATATAGTCAAGTACTGTGTATTGCCTGACTCCAGCTTCTTTTGGTATTCTCTCAAAACAAGATCTTCACTATGACAGTGAACAGGCGAATCTTCACATGGGTTAGCTTAATTTTTCTTTCCAGGGCAGTCCTAGCAATGGAGGGTCTAGATTTTGACTAGACTTAAGAGAACGTTAGTAAGACTAAGAATACTTTCAAGTAAAAGCTTGGGCTCTCGCTTCGACTAAATTTCCTGGTCACTAGTGGGCACTCTGCAGTCTCTTGGGACGGTGTATGGCTGTCATGCTCGTCTAAGGCTGTGGAAGAGGGTTTTTCTGTTCCCCTCTATCCATTTCTGTTTATGTCTTCACTCATGCACATGGTCGTTGAGAGCAGACCACTGTTCCTAACCTTCCTTGTACCTAGCTGTGTTCATGCGGCATTTCTAAAAGAGGAAACAGATTTTGAAACTGTCCTGGTTCCTAATACCTGTGGAATCACCATGTTAGCATGGGATGTGCGCTCTCTCTCTCTCTCTCTCTCTCTCAATTTCTCTCATTCATGTGAGTTAAAGAATAGTTGATATGGGTTAATAAAAACGTTACTATAATGATTTTGGTTATACTGTGTTAAAATATTATTTTTCTTTTGCGTCGATGCTTTCTTTCCTCGTGATGAGTGTGAGACCTGAGACTAAATCAGTTTGTTTTCATATTTACAGCTGCAGATAGATGTGTTCGGTCAGCTTATATTCTTCTTATGAGTATGAGATAGATTCACAAGGTTTAGAAAACTCAGTGAGGGATTAATGGTCAACATTTGTTCCTAAATATGAGCTAAATACAAGAAACAAAGTTAGTTTTCCTGAAATTAGTCATTTCATGTAGATATTAAAATATTCCTTTAAAATAATGTTATTGTGAATGCTTCTAGTCTCCCATATTATTCTAGACACATTAATCCCAAAAGACTATATGAAATAATCTTATCTCTTATAATAGAGAAAAACCCCTTTATATTTTAGTTTTTCCTTTGGTACTATAATGATGAGTTCAACATATCTCTAAGTTGGAGAGGTGAGAGTCTAGGGCAGTGGTTCTAAACCTGTGGGTCACGACCCCTTTGGGAGTTGCCTATCAGATGCCCTACATATCAGATATTTACACTGCGATTTATAACAGTAGCAAAATTACAGTTATGAGTAGCAACGAAAATAATATTGTGGTTGGGGATCACCACAACACGAGGAACTGTATTAAAGGGGCACAGGGTTAGGAAGGTTGAGAACCGCTGCTCTAGAAGTACTTTCTCATGGGCTGATTAAGCTTTACATTGGTTTTAAAATAGAGCCACAGAGAGAAGGGTAAAGTAGCATTATAGTTCTTAAAAGGATTTAATTGTGCTTCAGTTGCTAAGATAAAAACTCAGAGCGGAGAGAATCGGTCCTTAGGGTATGTTATTCTTTCCTCCTAAGATCTCTTTTCACACCTAGGGTGGGCTGTGTCGTTGGATGGTGATGAGGATTCTGAAGACTAGTGAGGATGATGGAGATCCAACTGGTGCTTACTGCTACTGAAATGTGGTTGCATCCGGGATTTAACTCTTTTCTTATCTACGGAGGCCCTTGCGTCCCTTCCAAAGGATGAAGTCTGAGGATGAGCTGTTGTTTGAAGTCTAATGGGAAAGATTTTGGCTTCCCTCTTACTCTAGAATCAAAACTTTTCTGTGCTAGATTGATTTCATCTTGACTTGTTAGTATTACTTTCTAAGACCAATCACTCATTTCAAAGTGGTACCCTAGGGATAGTTAAGTACTAGCTGGCCTGTGGGACTGCACTGTATTAGAAATGGATGCTTTGTGGTCTGCACCAAAGAATCATCCTTGGTGTATCCCATGGAAGAGCGGGGGGTCCAGACAAGTGATGTCGAGGATCACCCTGTTCTTGGACTCTGAACATGCTGATGGGTGAAATGATGGGAAGCATCCTGTCTACTGAGAAGTGACCAGAGTTGATAAGCACTGAGCCTGTGCCTCTGAACGTGATGACCCCCAAGCTGACTCGAAGCTTGACACAGAATCTCATGGTTACCTTTGATTTAAGAAGTAAGTTTTAGGGTTTCCTTCTCATTATGGGTATAGTTGCTATGTGGATTTGTCTCTTAAATTATGGGATGGAGGCCATGCTGATGATGTTAAAAGTTAGCAGTCACAGTTTGCATAACTTTTTAGACCTTGTAAGATGTCATGAATCTAAATGCACACACCTACTGGAAAGGCATCGTGGAAAGGCATGCAATAAATTGAACCACACTCAAGATGCAGTTACCTTTGGTTCTGGTGAACTTATCTCCTGTTGATGAGGGTATTTGGGAAGGAGAGGAGGTGAGGAGGCCTGGGTTGGCTGAAAGCACTCACAGGCCAGGTCAGAGATAGAGGCCAGAGAAGAATGACATGGAGGGGAAGGAGACAGATAGCTGGGGAAAGGCGTGGCAGTTCCATCTCCCGAAGCAAATGAAGGTGGCTTAAATGTTGAGGAAAGACAAGATGTGATTATGACCGTGTTCAGATGAAGGGACCTGGTCCTCAGAGAGTACCTTTCATGTACTTTCATGTCTAATAGCTGAAAAGGTCGTAAACATATCTCGGGGAAAGTAGTATTAATGTATTCTTGCTTTGAAAGCACCGACTTATCCCGTGGAATTTTAATTTCAGAATCTCAATGGGTATGATTTGGGGACTGTGGGTGGTTGGAGATAACAGTGTTCCATCAGTCTTGTCTGAGAGGCCTTTCTTTCCCCTTCCAACATGACGGCAGTAAAGCTCCTAAGACTCTGCAATGACACCTAACTTGCCCTTCAAGTTGGTTAAAGTAAGGTAAACGGTCACACAGCTAGGGAGTCAGGACCTCTTTGAGCATAGCACGAGATGTTTGCTGGGCTCACCTCAGTAGGATAAATGCCGTGCCTAGGATACTATCTGAAATAGGCAGGTAGATCACTAGACAAACCTGTCTATCTGTCAGCTTTCTCATCTCTAAGGTGGGGATAACCATACTTCTGGGTTTTGAAAACTAAAGAGGTTGGGTTCTAAGAATAGCACCTGACACTAAAAGTTAACAGTTAGCTATCATTATTAATATTGGAATATTAGAGAGACGATAAGCTTCAGTATATAAAAGTTAAATTTATAGTGACAAAGGAATAACGGGACAGTGGAATTGTACTGCACAAATCCCCACCATTCTAATAAACCATGTCGTGTTTGCAGATTCCTTCCACCCTGGAGTTTCCAATCCTTCTGTTCCTCATAAGGAAGCCAGCTAAGGCAGTGTCAGAAGTAAATATTTAGTAATGTCATTAACTCTTCTGGCTTATTGTAAAACTGGTTAGTTCCAGTTATTAGGCCAAATTAAATACCTCACTACTGGTTTTTGCTGCCTTGAAGTCTTCTCTGGGGGTCCTAGGGTGTGTGCGAATGCCTAGGGAGTCGTTTAAGCAGTCAGGGTCCTCCTCTTCTTCCTCCTCCTTGATGTGCAGTTGCAGTGTCTCCTCTGCATTGCTGTGGTCATACCACGTGATAGCTTGCTCTCGAGATCCCGGCATCCGTCTCTGGTATGCTAGCCCCTCCTGAGTGTCCTCATCCTCCTCTCCAATGACAGGAAGAGTTAGAGCCAAGGCACCCACATTGGTGCATGCAGAGGCCACAAATTTATCGCCTAGGACTTCAAGAATTTTGGTAGGGTCTGAAATGCGTCTTCTCTTTTTATTCAAATCTATGAATTTGCTTTGTGCATCCATCGTGGGATCCTGAAGAGACACTGGATCATCAGGCTGGGCCCCAGCTGAGGTGATACTCAAGCAAGGAGAAGGTAAGAGACAGAGAGGTGATTTGACTGGTAGAGATGCTGGAGGTAGTGAGAGGGGGTGGTGAGAGGGCTCCTCCTTAATTTCAAGGATGACCTGGTCTGGGATGTTCGTTTTGGCCTGGTCAGATGGTAAGGTTAAAGCGCTAAACTTCTCTAATTCAACCAAGAAGTTGTCGAGGACAGAGGATGGTGTTGGAGCCAATGGGTTTGCTGGCAGACACCAGTCTGTCAGGGATAGCCACTCTTGGGCAGTTCCCTGTAGGTCTCCTTTCTCTGTGCTGGGCAGAGCATTAGATACAGGAAGACAGGTCTGTTCACTGGAAGCCAACTTATTAATGAGCAGGAATTAAGATGGAAAACAAACAAAGAAAACAAAAACACATGAAAATACAACAACAGAAAAATACAGGGAAGGTGTGGTGATAATATAATTCAGGCTGTAGCACAGACGTAGATGGAAGATGCTTAGAGGATATCTAGATTGGGAAAAGTTATCTGAAATTTAAGTGCATAAAATCATTTAGACTAATTGCAAACCTTACTTGAGCAATCAGACTCTATTCATTTTGGAAGATATTCTAAGCATCAAAAGAGGAGATAGAGCTTTTTAGAGATCAAGAGGACAGACAACGAAACCCCAAGAGGCTTTATATTAATCTACCTCTCTGGAACTGCGTGTACTCTTACCTATATTTCAGATGTATCTATCTGGGAATTGTTACACAGAATAATATCAAATAATTAAGCTTTGTTTTAATCCCCAAATTTATTTACTATTCTCTCTCCCTGCAGAGGTGCCCACTCCTTTGAGTTTTTAGAATTGCCCCATCTCCATGCCATAAAATATTTTAGATTAGTATACATGAAACATGTTTAAGGGAATAAGTGCTAAAAACATATTTCTTATCAAAGAGCCCTGTGATCAGAATGAAACCAATCTTGCAAAACCCCTGCTTCAAAGTTTTTAAAAAAAAACTCCAAAGTAAATGCTTACCCAGAAGGGGACATGAGAAGTCATAGTATAAGCTTGATATTTTATGTAAGCCCCAAAAATGTAATTTATAGATTGTCTGAAACCAAAATATCCAACATCAAATTTCATTTGATAGTTCATGGAAGTTTTCACACTGGTTAAAGTTCTATTTTACACTTCTTGAAACAAACATACAAGTGCAAGATTTAATCTTAGTATTTAGATTTTGGAAATGAGTGGAACTGATAGTAATTCAAGGTGGATATCTTCATTTTTTTCTCATGTGGACAGAAATATCATATTCACGAGAAATCTCTAAGTTTCACCGTCATCATTGCAATGGCAGGCTCTATTGCTCTCTGCCACTACCGACTTCACTGCCGCTCCCCCCATGTTGCCTCTACACATGGTAAAAGGCCAAAAGAGTAAACGCTTTAAGATAGACTTGATAATACCAAAATTAAGTGCTAATTTTGATTAAGGAGTACCTCTATCACAAAACATACTTACAACACAAAATTAAAGCTATTTCATCTTTTTAAAAAATAATTTATTTTTTTATTTCATGTGTATTGGTGTTTTGTTTGCATACATGTCTGTGTGTCTGTGTGAGGGTGTCGGATCTCCTATAACAGGAATGACAGACAGCTGTGGGCTGCCACGTGGGTGCAGGGAGAACTGGGGTCTGCTGGAAGAGCAGCCAGTGCTCTTAACCAGTTATTTCATCTTAAAAGGGATTAGAATTGGATTCTATTGTACCGAAATCAGAAGTAAATAGCAGCTTATATTTGAGCCATCCTCAAAATAGAACTATGTCAAGCTCTGTAATTTGAATTACCGAGTGATTCAAAAGCCATCAACGCATTCCTTTCTCTGTTTGTAAGTGTCGGTCAGAAAACAGGAGCTCTACCTGGTTGCTGCTTTTGTATCTTGCTATTTAAAAAGACCTATTTCTTTTCCTTTTTTTTTTTTTTTTTTGGACCAGGGCAACACTACAGGAATTTTAAGCCAATGACATCATATGATAAATAACTAGTTGAGATGAAACTAAAATTTCTTTCAAATTATGGACGTAATTTTTTTGGAACAATAAGAAGACAATGATTACTTATTAGTGAAACTAACACACTCCTCTATTTACAATGTGGTATTACAATAAAAAACATAAATGGTATTTAAAACCTATTCAGAGAAAAGACCAAAAACATTGACTTAAGATATTAGCCTGCCATTGTTAATTAAAACATATGGGAGAAGTTCTTCAGTGGTCAGTAAGCATTTGTGCTTTCCTCTCCTATATCAGTTTACTTAATGGTTCGGTCCCTCGAGAGTCATCTAATGGTTCTTTTAAGATAAACGGAGGGAGGGCAAAGCAGAGGTGGATGGATGAAGATTCTGATTTTCCCCATGACCAATAGAAGCTACTGAAGGAAGGACGTTGCTCTCTAAATGTGAAGTTCTATAAACTTTATAAACGGTCTGTTTTCGTACACCCTTACCTTGATCTCAACTAAAACAGTTAACATTTTATATAACCAAATACATGTTTTTCATGTTGGGATGCATTTGACAATATTTTGGAAATAGCTCACTGGTGATTTAAAAATTTTATAGTTTAAAATAACTGTAAAGGAGAAAGAGACCCTTAAATACACCCATAAAATACCTTATAATTCAACAGGAAAAGGAGGAAAAAACATCCTGTGAGTCAGGGAAGTAGGAGGATACCTTAATCTAATGAACCAGTTCAGGAGGGAAGGTCCTTTCTACACTCTACTGAGAAAGAGAGTCATCTTCAGTTACCAGCTTAAGTGAACCAGGGGAATTTACGGTCCTAAAATTGATGAAAAAAGAATTGTGGATATGTCTAATAATCTACCATATTTTCATGTGATATTATAGGCCCAAAATTAAAATAATGTTTTATGCTATGTAGAAAATTCCTTAACACTTTCATAGATTATTGTAAACCTAATAATTATAATACATTTTAGGGGTAATTGTGTATGTGTGTGTGTGTAATGTATATACACCAAAATAGAGACACTTATTCAAAAATGCTGATGCTACTAACATTTCCTCTTTATGCAGTAAAACTTGAAAGTGGAATTAGCAAAAATGAACACTAAGCCTTTATCCCAGCATCTATTTGAGAAAAATTACATTTTCTCATCTGGCACTCATGTATATAAACACAATATATGAATTTGCTTCTTTTCAATAATATGATGATCGGTTACCCCAAATCACCCACTGATGATAATGCTCCAAGTTCTGAACTTCAGTGTTAACGTGCTAGAAGGGTTTCTTACCTTGTTGGAGCTTAGGCTGTGGATTCTTTCGCTAGAGTAGCTGTGGGGTATGGGAGGGTCGGGGTAGTCCTCAGCACCTTTTGCGTTCTTCTTGATGACTTCTACATAGGAAACAGGGAAGATGCCTTGCCTGTTGCTTCCTGGGATCTTGCCTTCATACCAGTTTTGATCAACTCTTTTAAGAAGAACAATCCTATCGCCCTGTAACAAGCATTGGGAAAATGTGTTATAGGGGGGACACAGTAATATGAAAAGCAAAATTGTCATTGTTTTCTGATAAACAGTAGCTTTCTATTTGGAAAGTTTTATGCCTCTCAATTTTGCTTGGTCAGAAGAATGCAAGAAAGGTTCTAGTGTTTATTAGAAAAGCCTCGATTGCCAGCATGGATGCATGTTAAATCGTCCATTCATGACATTAGAGTCCTAAGGATGCTCTAAATCCTTAATCCATTCCCTTAATGGGAAGGGGCTTCTACATGCTTCACACTGGCATAAAGTGAAATGGTTTGTGGAAGTTGCTCCAAGGCAGACGGTGTGAGGAACGCCATCTCAATGACAGTAGCCTCATCTAATCTCTACCAGAAGGGACGTGATGATCTGCAGGAAGAAGGAAGGGCTCTTGAAATGGGTCACGGAAACCATCCCATGCAAGGCATACAGTTGAATGGCTCACCGCTTTCCTTCTTTGAGCTGCGGGTGTCCTGAGAGGTGACAGAGAATGAGTGAAAAGCATGGGGCAAGGATGGCAATCTAGAATGTGCGTAGCTGTGGAGTGGGCAGACGTCTCCCTGCTCTCATCAGGACAGTGTAACCCCGGCGTCCCTTCCGTTGGTGAGTGGCTGTGCCAGTTCGGCCATTCGAATAGACTCTCTGATTTTTGCAACAGTGGGCACTTCGTATCACTACTATGCTTTCTGCAATGGGCAGGCCAGTGCCAGATAACTTTAACTATTTACTCAAAACCGCAGGAGGGTCAGAAGGAGGTTAGCAAGCCATTGCTAAAGAGCAAACCCAGCGGGCACAGCTCGGAGGTGTGTAACTAGGGGAACTGGGTCTGACAGTGTCATGGAGGTGCCATCTGCTCATTAGCTTCAGCGCAGAGGGAGTTCTTTTCAGTGCCAGAGCCCTGAAAATCCTCTTTAACTCTGCGCTGGATGGTTTGCGAAAAGTGCCCATCCACCCTGAGTGGAGCACACTGAAGAAAGAATATCCCCCAATCTCAAAATTGCATCAATTTTCTAACGTGCTCAGAAGCAGCAGCTGATAGACCTTCCTGGGGAATTTCACACGACAGCCTATCTTTACAGTATGGGCCAGAAGACGGTACACCGTGTTCAGTTTCCTGTGTCAAGCGGTGCACAGGAAGGTAAGAGAATTGCGGATGATGCAGAACTCATAGCGGGAGGAGAAAACTTGACCATCTCCTGCAGACCTGAACCGCCCCGCCCTCACTCTAACAAAGTACTCGGATAGCTTGCCAGAGAGATTGGGAGCCATCACGAGGCCTGGAGAAGATTGATCAAGGAAATGGGATCGCACAGATGGCTCCCCAAAAGCTTTTGGAGAGGACATATTTTCATTACTTTAGGACCCTGATTCCAAGATAGAGAAAAGTAAATACTGGCTACTTATTGAAAATTGACTAATGGGGCAGCTTAAAGACAGTTTGGAATGTTTTCTTCAAATTGTGTTCTCTATGTATTCGAAAATGCGTTCTAAATAACTAAAATGCATTCTCCCCTTGGGGTTCCACATGTGTGCTTCTTAGTATCCAGTTGAGGCACCCCCTGCGGGGGGACTCAGGGTCTTGCTTCTTAGGTTAAGCCACAAACTCTGTGTCTCGCAGGGACCCTACTTTGGAAGGGACACAGGGCTGAGAGGCAACAGTGATCCTGGGCAATCCTGACTCCCTTATAGGAACTAAACAAAGCCTAGGGTGTTCTAGAAAATAAGGTAATCTATCTTGGGTTCAGAATTGTACAGTCTGTGAAAACACCCCATTGAAGAATACAGCCAGGGTACCTTTCTCAGAGAGAGTTCCACGTTTGTGTCTGCATTGAAGTTGTATTTGGCTATGGCTTCTCCAATCTCTCCAGGTTGGACTGGGGGTGGTGGTCTGGCGGGCTGTGCTTTCTCTGGAGGCGTCAGTTTCTATAAAGGAGAACAGCGTTGGTTCTGAAACTTGTGATAACCTTTGGGACAGCATCCTTCTGGAGGTGAGGGGAAAAAGGGACGTACCTCTACGTATGAGATTGGGAAAATGCCCACTCTCCCGTGGTGCTCCCCCTCGTACCAGTTCTGGTCAATTTTCCTGAGGATGTAGACAGTATCTCCTTTCTTAAATGATAGCTCCCTGTAAGAGACATGACCAATGGACTCTCTCTGGAGGAGTAACAGTTAGTCTTACAATTGACATTCCATATTTATCTGAGAAATACCCTGCTCACATGAAAACATCTGCCAAGCTCAGCTAGATGAGGATTTTCCTTACAAATTTCTAGAGGTCACTTATGTGATCTTGGAAGTGATTTTGAAGATCAAGTATATGGATCACACTCGCATAAACCACATCCTGCGAGGACATGAAATTTGAAAGAGGGGACAGATTATTGTGACCTTGCTAGACTATAGTCATATATAATATTTATAACCTAATATTTTGGCTTGCACCAGGAGTATTTCTGAACACCAACTTAAAGTTTTTGAATATGTATGGAAATTATAAACAACTAATTTTTTCTTTTAATAGAAATATGGTTATTTTCTACTTAATATAGGCTTGCATTTAGAATTTTGGATATATCCAGTAAAGGGAAAGTTGCCTTATTACCCAGTTTTCCAAACTCTGTCCTTCTCATGTCAGGGAAAGAGTCCTATTTTGATAAATTTGCTGTATTTTTATTGCACTTTGAAATATTTGCTATTTTGGACCTATGGGAAACGAGATGTTGTCTCTTCTCCCATCTAAAATGGAGACATTTTGTTGGGTGTGTTACTTAGCTTTAGTTTTAGAAGGATTAGTTTTGCATATTTTAATATGTGTTTAAATGTACATAGGTACATAAGTGTGTGCCTTTGTTTATATTATGTACAAAAGCATTCATATCTTTTTTTGGTCATTCAAAGAGGCTAACACTGACTTGATATGCAGTTTTCAGAGGTACATGGGTGTGTGAGCCTTGAAAATGACACAATTTGCCCATTACCCTAATTTTTATGTTAAATATAGAAACGCATTGGAGGTGACGGGTGTTCTCTTTATATCTTCTGAGAAAAGAACAAGAGGAGGATCGTTAAGCTATAATAAGACCAAGCTATTTATAGGAAGAGCAGACCCACTTTCTTTTTGGGCTTCTCTGGATGGCTGGTGAATCTATTTTACCAAATGCTCACACAGTTAGATTTCATGAGACAAACCTCCTCATGCTCTCAGTGAAAGGGGGATGTACAGACGGAAAGGTGCCAGTGGCCTCCTTGCCCCCCCC